AGGGAGCCGCTCTTCGGGAGATGGTGAACGCACCACTCCCTCCCCCGGGAGAAGGGCCGGGCGGAGAATCTTTTGTTTTGTTTTGTCCCACCGCTGACCTCACAGTAAGTGGTGGCCAAAATCTCAACAAATCTCTGGGTCTCAAGAGGGCATGGAGAGTTGTGGACGGTCCAGGCCCGTTTCTCACTCATCCTCCTCTGTCGCCAGCGGGCAGCAGTGGGCAGTTCGAGAGCGCTATCAAAGGCCCTACTCACTCACCCTCTGCCCAACCATGGAACCAGGTAAGTGTTGCACTGCACACTCAGACCCCGCTTTGGTCGGCCCACGAGCTGCCCGAGCTGGGTCCCTGCATTCCACCTCGCTACCCCACTGCAGGTACGTCGGTGGTTCCACTGGTCCCGCTTGTACGGTATCTGGAAGCCTGCCTAGCGCTGCCCAGCCTGTCTTGCTGGCTCCTTCGGACCATCAGACTTGGCTGTGCAATTCAGTTCTCCCGGCGTCCCCCCAAGTTCAGGGGCATCCACTTCACTTCAGTGCAGGCAGCCGATGCCCCTGTCTTGCGTGCGGAGATCGCAGTCCTGCTTGCAAAGGACGCGATAGAGTCGGTCCCTCCAGCCAATATGAAGACGGGGTTTTACAGCCCCTACTTCATTGTACCCAAGAAAGGCGGTGAGTTACGACTGATCTTGGACCTGCGTGTCTTGAACCGGGCCCTTCACAGTCTATTGTTCAAGATGTTAACACAGAAACGCATCTTTGGGTGCATCCGTCCCCGAGATTGGTTTGCAGCAATTGACCTGAAGGACGTGTACTTTCATGTCTCAATCCTTCGGCGCCACAGACCCTTTCGCGTTCTAAGGACGAGCATATCATACACTGCACTTTGGGCTGTCCCTGTTCCCCTGTGTCTTCACGAAAGTTGTGGAGGGACCTCAGGCACCTCAGCCTGTTGGGTCTTCGGGTCAACTGGGAAAAGAGCAAACCCCCCCCGACGCAGAGGATCCCTTTTCTCGGTATGTAGTTGGATTCGGTCGAACAGACAGCACGCCTAACAGAGGAACGTGCTCAGTCGGTGTTGAGCTGCTTGAATTCGTTCAAAGGCAGGACGGCGGTCCCACTGATGGGGCTTCCGCAACGTTCCTGTTCCAAGTGGAACGGGTACGTTTTCCCAGTGTTATCCAATCTCACTGAGTGGGTAGTGCTACGGCAACAGTGACTGATATTCTTGTTGCTAAACCCCAGCCTACTCCAAAAAGGGGGCAGAGGCTCGCACAGGACACTGGAAGGGGCAGCATCCATGGCGCTTTGGTAGGGATTCCCAATTCGTCGGTCACCGTTGTGACGTTGAAAGTGACCGACTGAAAGGGAACGTCTCGTTACATATTGTAACCCTCGTTTCCTGAAGGAGGGAACAGAGATGTTACGTCCCGTCGCCACAGCCGCTGTACCACCGCTGAGCGGCCGGGTCACCGGCTCGGCTCCTCAGCAAAAACCTGAATATGCGGTGCATCTGCTGCCTATTTATACTCGCGCTGCGATCGGCGGCAGCTGCATGCAATCATCGCATGCCAATGTGCATTGGCTCATTTAGTTTACACGCGAAGTAGATTGGTCTCTCTGGCAAGATTCCCAATTCTTCGGTCACCGACGTGACGTCTCACTTACCTCCTTCAGGGAATGAGGGTTACAATATGTAACTGAGACGTTTCATTGTAGTGACGCCTTCCTGAGATTGCATTATTTTTTATTTATATAAAATATATATGAATGCATTTAAATATGTAAATAAATGCTAAAATGCTTTAATGTTCACATGAGTACATATAGCAGTAGAAACTTGTTTTATCTCCACTCTAAAACTCATGAAGTGTGTGATTCCAGGTCTCTTTGAGTTAAACGAAATAGCGCTGTGCCCTTGCAGCCGTTAATATGAGGCATGAGCACCATCAGTGAAGTATTTTGAAACCGATTACTTTTCAGTTCCACACAGATTCGTTGAAAAGCACTTGTACTTCCAGGAAGGAGAACTCGGATTCTTTTAGAGAAAAGTTTAAATGGTTTTTCCACAATGGCTCAACTATATAGAGCTGTATTGACAATAGGCATACCATATATCATATGACGTCTTCCCTAATTCAGTACAAAGTAAAAAACTATCCAAACCCATCCATGGTGTTGCCATGGTTTTGTACACCATGGTGAAACCAAGTCTCTAATCATCTAGAATATTTCATTCTGCAGGGCAGTGTCAACTGACAGCAGCACTTGACATTGAAAAAGCTAAATAAACCACAGAACTTATCTCAGAAATACTTTTTGTAAACCATTTTTACAGACTCATATGATGCTAAAGTGCACATCCAATTCAATTCAATTCAATATGATGTTTTCAAGCATTCGCAAATTAATGCATTTACTGTAGCATGCTGAAATATGGTCTTAAAAAGGCTTTAAAGAAGTGGGATAGTGTGTTTTGTTGTGTATTAATCCCCAGACAAATGATTGATAACAAAATATTCACCAGTAGGAAGGCATTGATTATACGTACACTGCAAAAAAATATTTTTCAAAGTTGTACAAATTATTGGTGTATGTTTCACAATGTCCTTCAACTTCAAAACTTTACATTGTGTTACTTGCCATTTATTTGTAATTATTTGTGAAATTTACTAGCAATTTCTTAGTAAAAATCGTTTCAAAATAAATCCTACACCAGTTATTTTTTCAGTGTACAGTCATGCTGATAATAATGTTGCTGCCTTAAATCTTCTCTAAATTGAACATAATAACCTTTTCAAATATATATGCTAATAACTAAAGACATTTCTACTGAATTTATTGGAATCTTTTGATCTGTGATTCTGTCCAGTTGTGTTCAAGAAGCACAAACAGATATTTATTAGCGTCTGATTGACTCAGAGAGCCGTAATGCAATTACAGAGCAGGTGGGTCGACATCTCAAACTGCTTTGGCTTATTGAATCGAGTCGAGTGGGCAATATTTCATCTATTGTTTTCAGCGGTGCATTCACAAGCAATTCACAGAATGGAATTTACAGCATGATGAATGATGTATTTCTGCCGCTGGTATGAAGTTAATGGTCTCTTGTTTTCCTTGGTAGAAGCACTGTTCCTCTGTGCTGTGCCCATCTCACTAATACGGCGAAATGCTGGGTTTTTTTACGGGCACAAAGTGTTCTGTGTAAACACGTGGCAAAAGTGCATTCTCATTTATTGATTGAATGTTTGTAGTAAATGTAAGACTCTACTGGTGTTCAGAGAATCGCACTTGAGCAGGTGTACTGAGAAAAACAACAGTGGCAACTGCGCAGAACTAAAAAAAAATGCAGTGATGATGATGTCAGACATTGTGGGATGCATTTTGGAAACTATGTTTTACAAACAGTTATCCTAATAATTAAATTAAGCTCCAATTGATCACTTTTGATTGATTGGTAGATGTCAATTCAACTTCCCAAAAAATAAAAAAATAAAAATCTGTTGTAATTATGTTGTATTATTGTCATAAAGTGTTTGCCTTAAATGCTGGGGCAAAAATACATCCATTTGTATTTATAAAATTGTATTGAAACATTTTATCGATATCTGTCTATCCTTACGTTGCTTGAAACTCATATGACTTTTTTTCTCCATTGAAAAAAATAGGAGTTATTATCAAAAATGTCAAAGCTGCTCTTTTATGTATGATGAAATTGCATGTTGATCTCTTCCATTTCAGTTTAAGCTTGATTTATTAAAACATTATATATTCGCTTGGGATTAAAATCCATGTTTTTACTTTTTAAAAAGTGTTTTTTTTATGTCTCATCTCTTCCAGAGAACCAAGAGAGCCAGATCCTAAAAACTTGGTCTCTAAAAAACATGGACAACTCTTCAGCATAATGATACATGATGCACATGATGATGTACAGTTCATCAGAAATGGGCTTTCCAGCATCTGTGACCAAAAAGTAGATATGGGCAACGCACATTGTGATCCAAACAAATACAATCAAGGTAAAACACGTCTAAATACCACTAAAATAATGCAATAAACATTAACTAAGTAAATATCATAAAACACCCCAATGGACATAAATAATAAGAAAATGAGATGCATCACTTCTTTAAAAAATGTCTTACATATGTGAAGGATATTGTTTTGACTGTAAATTATGAGATGAATCATACTGTTTACATACAAAATTATATATATTTTGAACAATATTGTAGTGTAAAAATACATAGTTTAAAAAAATATATATAATAGCTTTTCATTGTGTATGGTAAACTAACTTAGAGTTAACCAGTTATCAGGCTTTTTTTCTAGCATTTCTTTCCATTTAAATATTGCATTGTTTACACTTAAGGGATGGGCAAGAGAGAACGCATGAAACTGAGATGATTGTATTGTGTGGCGATTATGTTTCCTACTATAAGCATGAGTGCTATAGTGATATAAACACAATTCTGAATGAAGTGCACTAAACTGATCTGACTAAAAAGTCCTACACCTCTGGGAACCATCCTTCTGACTGTACACACATGAACATGGGGATGTTTTCTCACCATTTCCGAGAATAGATTATGTACCTGACACTCTTAAAAGCACTTAAAGAGAAGCTGCACACAGCTCAGCAGCAACACAAAGTACCAGGCCTTTCCTCCAGTCCTTGACTAGTTCCCAAGCATTGCCTTGTTTTGAGAAAGTTCTGCTTTCAGTGCGTTACGTTCGGATTCCACAAAATAAATGAAATGCATTTAAAAGCAATAAATGCTGAAGATAATTGGAGTGATCTGCCAGGAAAACCCACTAGGCTACACCATGCACAAATTATATATCCAAATGCCCAGAGTTCTCCATGGAAATTCATGAACGCCAATCAGTTTGATTGGACTCGCAACCCATTCCATCACCTTCCAAGATCAAGCGCTGAACTTCCAAACAACTGTTCTCAAGCAACTCACTGTAAACTTGCCTGAACACCAAACACAACTTACATTTCAGTGACGTTTTCGCTCTCCTGCGCTGCCAACGCAGGGATGCTGGTGATTCCGTCCAGCTCCAGGCATTGAAGCATGGCGAAGGAGCAGCGGCAGGCGTTTGGGCATCCGCTCAGGGCTGGTGCGACCAGGACGAGAAGCATCACCACAACCGGGGCCACCCTACGGTCAGCCATGGTGAGGTTCGAGTGAGTTTGTTATCCTGGGGGAAACTCCACCCTGCAGCAGGAACTCTGGATGTGAGGAGAAGCGGCTCTTCTCTTGGCCAGCACTCAGGGTTATGATCCCATCCAGGAGCTGAGCTATTGAGCCGTGTAGCAGGGCCCAGGGGAACCTCCCAGTCTGAGATGGAGAAACGGAGGGGAGGGGCAAAGCAGTCCATTAGTTGAGTGTGAGTGTGAGATGAGAGAGAGCAATGGTCACCAGACACCTCTGTGACACTCGCAGAAGCGAGCAGGGAAGCCAGACCTGTGAGCTGTAGGTGGACACGAATGGATCGGAAGTGCTCCACCTGTTAGAGCTGACCGTGAACTTTGAGCTTGTGAGGAATAAACAACTCATGAGTATCTCCATGCACAAAGGGCAAGGATCGTGGCACTTCCCTAATTCATCTCCCTCCACCTCTAGGATCACGCAATGTTTATTTAAAAGTCATATGCGATGTGTGTGATTTTCTGTATAAGTGATTTATGTTTGGTATCATCTGAAATGTTTCATTGCACATGTTAGAGTGGTCTGTGAGGAGGCACGTGTGAGATTATTGGGGTCTTTTTCGTAGGAAAATAAATCTGAGAAGACTCAAGCAGAAACAACTGCATTTAAGCTCATTGCTGTCTTGAGAGCCAATTGAGATATTAAAGAGATGTGGTTTTTTATCAGCAAGAGGAAAATGATATTGCTCAGAGGTTGCTCTTACATAACTCTGGAGGTCTCAGATGTATCAGTTTCGTTTTGGATTTTGCAGTGGATATATGGAACTATAAAAGGAATGTGAAATTGCTCAAATCAGTTGATGAGAAATATTTGAGTTTATACTGAGATCGCTGGCATTTGATTGTAGAATTTAGGATCTTGGGAAATCTGAGTGCAGTTTGATACATTTTGAGATCTCTTCTGAAACTCTAGAGGAGGCACATGTGAAATTACTGGGGTCTTTTCCTCACGAATATAATTTTGAAAAGTAGGAGACTCAAGTAAAAGTCTCCATTTCCTCTGCTTTTTAATATTTATTGTGAATATTATTAAGGAATGTCGTGTGATTTTTGTTTTCTTTCCAACAGGTGATCCTGAGGAAATCATATTGCTCAGAGGCTCTTGCGCTTTCATAACTCATGGAGAACTTGGATGTGAGTCTTGGATTTTTCCTGCTAAAAATAAATAAAAATAGACCCAAATGTTGCAATTCTAAGTATACAGTAAATGTACAGAGCTATAAAATGAATGTGAATAACATCAGATAATTTTGCCTTGGGAGTATTTGATGAGAAATGTTTGAGTTCATATTGAGATCTCTGACTGTTTCAGACTTTGAGCTCTTAGAGAAATCTGAGCACAGTTTGAGACATTTTGAGATTTCTTCTGAAACTACAGACGACGTACATATGGGATTTCTGTGTCTTATTCTAAGGAGAATAAATCTGAGAAGCAGGAGGCTTTAGCTAAAGTCACCAATTGCTCTCCATTGATATTATTTAGAGGAAACAATTGAGATTATAAAGAGAACTAATTTGTGTTTTTTTTCCTAGAGAATTGATGAGTCCCAGAGAAAAGACGAGTACTCAGAAGTTGCTCTTTTGTTGCTCAGGAGACATTTACAGTAGGTCTCATTTTTGTCTCAGATGTTTCTCTTTGTTAACATGAAGTAAGAATATTGAGTCATAAAATGAATATAGACATTATAGCTCTAAAATTTGATGGTAAATACAAGTTCACATTGAGATTTCTGGTTTTTCATCACAGATTGTCACAGATCACAGTATGAGACTGTTTGAAATCTCCTCTAAAACTCTAGATGAGACACATGTGAGATCACTAGGTCTTTTCTCAGCAGAATAAATCTGAGAAGCAAGAGACTTGAGCAAAAGTCTCCATTTGCTCTCCATTGCATGTTATTGCTGTCTATAGGAGAAACAATTGAGCTTATTAAGAGAACTAATTTGTGATTTTTCTTTCCTTCTTTTTGTCCCAGCAGAACATTTCAATGCTCAGAAGTTCTCTTTTATTGTGCAGGACACATTTGCTTTGTCGGTAATACTTTACAATAACCTTTCTTAGTTAACTTTAGTTAATGCATTAACTAGCATTAACTAAAAATGAGCAATACATATGTTACAGTGTTTATGAATCTTTGTTAATGTTAATGTTTTTATGTAATAAAAAAACCACCTGTTATTTGTTAGTTCATGTTAGCTCAGGTTCATTAAATAATCTTAACAGATGCAAGTTTTGACATGTTGCACTCTAAAAAATGCTGGGTTAAATACAACCCAGTGCTGGGTAAAATAGGGACAAACCCAGCAATTGGGCTGTTTTGACCCAGCGGTTGGGTTAAATGTTTAACCCAACCTTCTGGGTAGTAACCCAACCGCTGGGTCAAAACAACCCAATTGCTGGGT